GTCCCCACCCATTGCCTTTTTCCCCCCTGACTCTCCTCAGACTAGAATCACATCTGTTTTCCAGCCTCTGCACTCTCACTGCAGAGCAGATGGAAGAAGAGCACGTTGTGGGCCAAGGAGATCAGGAAAGAGCTGGGTTTGTACTCAGATTTGTTCTAGGAACTCACCAGAATCCATGTATCGAAAAAATGGAACACTTCTTACAGCTCCCTCAAAGGAACCAGAGGTGCTGTTCTCTTATTTCTCTTTATGTCCATTGATCTCCCTTCCTTCCAACTAGACAGCTAGTTAGCTTTCTTGTTATCTCCCTCCTCCCTCCCTCCCTCCTTCGTCACTTACCCCCCTTTCTTTTAGTCTGTAATTATTAATACTGTGTGCTCTTCTCTAAGTTAGCTCATCAGGGAGATATACAATGTAGACTACAGGAGCTAGCAGATGCCTTGACACTTACACACTTCTAGTGTACATAAGGTCAACCACTCCTCATATTTGACTTTCTATAGTTCAAGTTGATTCTCTCCAAAGTAGAGATAGTTTAATGGTCTGACCACTAGGGTTTCCACAAGTAAGAGCAAATACAAAGTTTTTAAAACTCCTGGATCTGAGAAAGTGTTATCTACATAATACATGATATGAGGAAAAGTACTGGTGGAAAGTAAGTCAAGCAGAATAAACATAAACTTGGCTCTCAGTTTTCTTTGGGCTTCTGATGGCATTCTGTCCTTAAGATTCCAGACACTAAGATCCTTCGCATAAACTTAAACAAGGCCAAAAGACAGAGTACAGCTGGCATCTCGTCTCACAGAGCTCCTCCACTTTTCAAAATGATTTAGAGGGCAACGTGTCCCTCTACTTTTTCAAACCCTAAGACAGCCAGCCCTCCTCTTGGTGTCTGTTTTTGTTTGGATGTGGGAATAAATGGGATTTACTTATTTATTTATGTCTAGGAGAAGAAAACAACACCACCACGAGTCTGAATGTGTGGGTCAAGAAAGAGGCAAAGAAAGAAAATAAACAAACACAGGGATACAGAGGATGTTGTTGGTGTTGAAGAGATGAATGTCCAAAGAGAACAAAAGTGAGGAAAGAAGATGCAAAAGTGGTTCAAACATGGAAGATGGTCAGAGATAGACACGGATTCTGGTGATGTGCAGTAAGGCATTCCAAGGCTGAGATAGAACAAATTAGGTAAGAAGGAGCCCCGGGGAAGGGGGGTGGAGGGCGCCGGGGCCAGACTGTGAGAGGGACAACAGGCTCCTGGAAGAAAGGCTTACGTGAGCTTGGGCCAGCCCTTGGAGGGAGCAGCAGTATCTCTCACCAATGTGGTCATAACCTTTGGAATGAGGGTGTGAGTGACTGCAAGTTCCCATCCCCCTCTCCTTTCAGCATCCCTGCACCCCTCTAGCCTGGCTCTCCCTCTCTCTCTCTCACTCTCTCTTGCTCTCCCTCATCTCATTGTTTCAGGAGGCCAAATCTGAAGTCCTTCCCAGGGAGTGGCCCTGTTCATCTCATTCTCCGGCCAAAGTAGGAATAGCGTGAGAAGGAGAGAGACACAGTCAGCAGCCAAAGGACTCGGTGGAAAGAGCAGAGCACCATAGACAGTGAGTTGTTTGATCGTATACAACCCTAAATGAACAGGGAGTGTGCGTGTGTGCGTGTGTGTGCATACGTGTGTGTGTGTGTGTGTGTGTGTGTGTGTGTGTGTATGTGAACTGAAGGGCTTGAGGGGGGTAATCGGGGATTGTCACCGAACTTAAAACTGGGCAGGCATCCCAATTACCCACAAAATTCAAATGAAAGGAGACACCAAGGTGAGCAGATGATATAAACAAGTCTCAGACATCGAAAGAGAAGAATCAGACCCTAAAGGTGAAAGAGACCACAGGGTAGGGGCAAACATGGACCGTTTAGAATATGAAATTTCCTCTGCTTGGTAGAAAAGAGCAATGACAGTGAGAATAATGGTAAGTGATCAAATAATAGATGAATTGAGGAATAAGTGTTGGGTGAAAGATAAGGAGAGAGAAAGGGTTTGAGTCCTATGGGGGGCCGGGAAAGCTCCTGGGAAGACGAGGGGTGGGGGTGGGGATAGACATCCTTCCCTGGAGCCTAAACGCTGGTGTGTCCCTGAGCATTACCATCTCTGCTCTCCCCACCATACCTGTTAGATATGCTGCTCTTGGGACCCAAGGTGCTGCTGTTTCTCACTGCCCTCATCATTCCCTCGGGTGAGTCCCTACCTTTATTCTTTTCTCCCTAAAATGCTGGCTCCTCAGCTATACATGCGTCTGAAGGTGGGTGTTAGAGAGTGGAATAGAAGAAGGTTGAAGGGGACTTGGGAGAGAGATGCTTGCTCTTGAGTTCTAGAATTATTATGAAAGAGAAGAAAGGAATAGATTTTGTGTTAAAAAAAAAAAAAAAAAAAAAAAAGGCAGAGGTATGGAAAGAGATGACCTTAACTTAGGGAAAGGTATCCTGAGAGTTACGAAACTAAGGTGAAATACACACAAATGCATGTTAACCAAAAGAGGGCCACACACATAAATACACAAGTAAACAAATACCAAGGGAAAAATGAAGCTGATACACAAATGCATACACAAACACGTAGAGAACACCTAATAAGAAACCTGACCAAATTTAAATCCTGTAGAAAAACACTGCCAAACACTAGCACCAGCATACACACAAGTATATTCACATGCACGCCAAAAATATGTGTCAGATCTATACACAAAAGAAAAATTATCTTCACAAATTTCACCGAAGCTACCTAGAAGATTAGTCATAGAAAACAAACCTTGGATTTCAAAGAATAAAAATAAAAAATCCTACTCATTCTGCCAGATACAGATTGTGAGAAAATAATCTTTTTGCCTTGTTCAGTAGTGTAGCTGGTGGGATGGCTGTGGGGATAGGACAGGACACATTAGAAGGGCTGCTGGCTCTCTCTGTGGAACAGGACCCCATTCCGCCCGGCTGGGAATGAGGGCAAGAGTCAGGGCATAACACAGTAGGGGTTTGTTCTCAGGGATTTGTTGTCTTGCTTGAGTGTTTCCATATTTGTGTGAAGCATTAATGATCTGAGTAATTTTGTATTGAGCCATATAAAAATAAAGATAAAGTATCACCATTTTCCCATCATTTTCTGGTTCATTTTATAAAAGTTTTTTGAGGTATAGAGCTAAGGTCACTCACATGCCTTTTCTCTTTCTTTTGGTACAGGCTGGACACCTCTAAGGGTCAGTGGTCAAGAAGGTAGGTGAACCTTGGGATTGGGACTCTGCTCAGGTTCTTTTCAGTGTAACATGAATGAATGGTTGCAGTTAATAAATCGGTAATACAACAGAGAGGTAATACAATAGAGGTGTGTTGCCAAGGTATGGGAAATAGGATCTAACTGACCAGTTTCCACAGTCCTATTATCCCATTCATAATCTACTGAAATATTCTCCCCAAGACCTCCTCTATACCCATCTCTAGCTTCCACTCTCCTCTGCACATCTCTTATCTCGCTCAGAAAATGCCCACTAATCCTAACAGAAAGCTTTTTCCTATCCATGTAACAGTGGAGAAACTAAAATGCAAAGACAGGATGAAAAGTCATCTCAGTACTACAGCAAAATTGTGGCATAGCTGAACAGAACCCAAAAGTTTTGGCTTCCAAAAGACCACTTCCTTCAGCTTAATGAAGGAAACTCAAATCAGCATCTCCACTCTGCCTCCAGGCTTTCAAAATAGTTATAATTTATCTCTTACTATTCCCACCCTTGTGAGCACAGCAGTATGTAATTCATTAACAGGCCTTAAAATCAAATTAGTGGGTCACAACTGGTATATATATTTTTTAAGTATCTTTATTGATATCAGAGAGAAGAAAGGGGAGGGAGAGAGAGACAGAAACATCAATGATGAGAGAGTCATTGATCGAGCCCGCAACCCAGGCATGTGCCCTGACAGGGAATCGAACCCCAATCGCCTGGATCCTAGGTCGACGCTCAACCGCTGAGCCACACCCAGCCAGGCACAACTGGTATTTTTAAAGAATTAGGATAGGCTAAAATACAAATAGGGTACATGAAACCCATTGCAAGAGTCAAGTATTATCTTTAAACTTGTTTCAGTTTTATGTGTGCACTGGGGCATGATATAATTTCTTATACCCTGTCAGTTCTGAAACAGAAAATAAAAATATAGAAATAAAAACTTTTCTTCTTTGTTGCGAGTAAATAGGTCTGAATCCCTAAATTTCTGAACCTAGATCAATCTGATTTCAGTGCCAGCAAAACTAAATATCTGAATTCATTTTTGTGGACTGGTTAAGGTCCAGTCCTTTTTTATGACTTTGTGATGCTTTTCTTTCAGAAATATTATAAGATGAAAGTGTCTCCTTAAGATTTCTTTTCAGAGAATGTAAATTCTAGATAAGTATTTACATGGTGGTAGCTCATGGAAAAGGTGGGTAAACTGAAGTATATAGAAAAAGTAGGTAAACTGAGGAATATGCAGAAAAGCAGTACTCTGCCCTGAAATCCTGAGACAGCTGGGATACACTCACAACCCCTTTGCTCTCCTCTGTTTCTCTCCTGTTTCTGTGAGTGGCTGGACTGGAATGTAGCTAGAGAGCAAGGGGAACAGGGCCAGATTGGACTACACCCCAGAGGCTCCACTCCCCTCTTAGTCTCCAGAGTGATTCAGGTCAGTGTGTTTTTTTAATATCTTGTGGAATTGAAAGAGACCTGGATCCTTTTATCAAAAGTTGTTCTGAAAAAAGAAAGTTTATATTGAGCATTAAAGATAAAAATGCTCTTTTGTCAGATCTGATGATTTTTCTGTCTGGAATTTATTTTTTTTTAAATAATGGGGTAAGCAGTAAGCAGGGGAAATTCCTTAATAATGTTTTATTTGTGTTTTGCCTCTACCACAATGATCTCTGATGTGCTTTATTAAAATGCCATTCCCACCAAATTTAAATCTGATATTTAGACTCTGAAGTTAAAAAAAGTCAAAGCAAACTATGTGAATTTGCTGACCCCTAGTGGGTAAAATAGATTATGACTTATAAGCTTTCTACAATGAAGGGATGATTCTAGATGGGGTCTTTGCTATTTAGATGTTAACACTGCTTTGTTATTTTGCTTTCTAAAGTCAAAACAAGTTGTTCTAGGGAGTGTGATTATTTATGATTTTAGATACAGTTTTCTTAGTCTATCCCAATAGATTCCACCTTAAGACCCGGGCCATTTTTATTCCTTCTCATCCTGCCTTTACTTTCCACTGACCAACCGCAAGGCACTGTCTGCTAACAGGCATTCACCCTTCCCTCCCTTCACCTCACCTCTCACTGAGCATCACAAAATCACCAACATCACCTTTTCTGAACACTCTTGTATATAAGCATATCAGCAGACTAATACCCAATTACAACAAAATTATAAATACCAAAATCAGTGTTTTTGGTGAAAATAATTTTCATTTTGAGTAAACATGGGAAAAAGGTCATAACTTCGTTATACTTATTAACAAGCTCTATGAACGTGGGTAAACTATTCTCCCGGTGCTCAGTTTTATCATCTGTAAAAACAGGGATTTAAACAGTGTCTGGCACATCGTTAATTCAGATTAGCTAAATGTTTTATCATCTGTTAGGACAATAATGTAATATAAGTTATCCCTGCAGTCTAATGCTTAATCAAAGTGTAATTGAAAAAGAGGAGTCTGTGGAGGATTATCTGATGGGAATGTAGTTTAATTTATTCATTCCTCTAGATAATACAGACAAAGGAAAAAGGGTATTCTAGGCCAATGATAGTGTGGGTATGTTCATGGAAGCAGGAAAGGGTAACATTTGTTTGGGTTAGAGGGGAAAGGACTTAGTCTGGGAAGCAAACAAAAAAACAATTGCGGCCTCGCTGGGTGTGGCTCAGCAGTTGAGCACCGACCTAGGATCCAGGAGATCACAAGTTCGATTCCCCGTCAGGGCACATGCCTGGGTTGCGGGCTCGATCCCCAGTCGGGGGTGTGCAGGAGGCAGCCAATCAATGACTCTCATCATTGATGTTTCTATCTCTCTCTCCCTCTCCCTTCCTCTCTCTGAAATCAATAAAGATTTTTTTTTTTTTTTTAAATTGTGGGATACTTATTCTGTGTTGGCCACCGCACTAGACAATTTTACTTACTGGGAGTGCAAGGTGAGAAGGGTAAAGAGAATGCTCAGAAAATGTTTTCTGATTGTTTTGTTTAGCTGGGGTGGCTGCAACGACTTCAGAGACATTCACAGAAGATCCTAGTAAGCTACTCTTTTTGTTTATTTCTTGCTTTCATACTGGAAATAGAAGGCTTGATGACGACGTCTGTAAAAAGGAAAATGAAGACTAGAAAAGAGGTTGGAGGGCGCTCTGGGCTCAGGCCACTGATGCTGGAAACATACCCAGTCTGTGCCTCTCCTCCGCTTCCTCCCGCAAGAGGGCCATATATTCGCCCCGCAGCCTGTGTTCTTTCAATCCTCCTTGCCTCCTTTTAGATCACCATCCCTTATCCTGCTTCCCTTTGTACTTTTTCCTACTTGCATTTTTCATTCTCTGTTATCTTTGCAGATCTAGTAAATGAACCCTCTACAGATGAAACAGGTAAGTTTTACTACAGTTCTTTAAAAGTGGCATGAATCTCATTAATAGTCACAATATTTATTCCAGCTCTTGAACAAATCCTGTATCTCTGCGAAAGGCAGAGAGAGATCATGGGCATATTGTTCAGGGACAGTGGAATAAAAAGAAAAAGAGGTCCCTTAGTCCTCTAAAAAGAGGAAATGAAGTGGATTAATAGCTAAAATAAGGCGTGAATGAAAAAGGCTCCCAAAATTAGTTTAATGTCAATAGGACAGATATCCTTCAAAAAATATTCACAATTACGTCAATGAACTCTCTTTCAATGGACATAATACACAAACCCAGCCATAGCCTTGACTGGGCCCTGATATCTCCACTCTCCCTTTTTTTAATTCTGCCTTCCGTCTTGACAATTCAAAGCCCTCCTCACACCTGCTGTTTTGTGCCTTTTCAGTTCTGGCTGATATCGAGCCTTCCACAGATGACCTGGGTGAGTTCAGATCTGGGCTTTCCCCAGAGCCCATTATGGAAGGCATTACAGCCGGTGAAGGATCCTAAATATACAGAGTTACAGTTTATATAGCACTTTCTTCCAACAGTTCAATTTAATGACCTTTTTGATCCCCTAACAAGCAGAACGGTGCTGTGTCTGATGCACAAAATACCAACACCTGATATTTTAAAGTTTCTAAGACTAGATGAGTAAAGCAAATATGTAAACAAATAAATGTATGGGGAGATACAAAGAAATCTTCTAAAAGTAATGGTCAAACTGAATCTTGAAAGAAGAACTGGAGCAAGCCAGGCAATTATGGAGGGGATGTGAATTTCAACCGAAGGGAATAGCTGTTCAAACATGTGAAAGCAAAATATAACTTGGCATATTGGGGAAGCTGCATTTTTTGAATGGTTAGGGTTAAAACCACAAGGAATAAGTGGCAGGACATGAGAAAAAGAGAGAAAACTATATTATTCTAAACAAATATTTACTAAAAACCTGCTACTTAGGTGCCAGGGATATAAAGGTGAACAAAACTAATTTTCTTCTACTAGATATTTTTTGTCTAATAGATGAGATAGACAAGTGAACAGATTAAAAAAAAAAAAAAAAAGAGTTCTTGACTATATTCAGTGTTGGGGGTTAGGAAAGGCTTTTCTGGAGAGCACATTGCCTAAGCTGCTTCTTGAAAGACAGTAGAAGTGAACAGAAGGGGGAAGAGCTTTTAGGTAAAGCAACTAATGTGGGCAAAGGCTTAGGACGGAAATAAAAACCAGAGTATAGTTTATGTAGAGAAAGGTTCAAATTAGATTTGTGAATTGGAAAACCAACAAGGATGAGGTTGCAGTAGTTCCAATAAAAGATGGTGGCTTGAACTAAGGCAAAGGTAGTGAAAATTGAATGTGAACCGTAAGGGGGAGGAGATGACGATGTTCAGCTTCCCATCAGGTAGATGGTGGCTATTGGGTGGCTGGCACTGCCATTCACTGAAGAACAATTTGAATTGGTGAGGGGAGAATGATTAAGTCAGTCTGAGATGTTGGATATGAAGGATCTTTGAAAAATCCATGAACTCTTTCATAGGTTTATAGGTCTGCAGCTTAGAAAAGAGACCTAGGCTAGAAGTATAAATTTGAGAATCCTCAGCATATAAACTTGCAACTGAAACCATGGGATAGATGAGATCACCTAACATACTTCCTATAGTTTCCTATTGGCAACTCTTCCAATCACACTTTACTGGTACCTCCCATAGTCTGTTCCCTCAAGATTCATCTTGCTCCTTGATTTGATCTCCATTCCACACACTAGGCCCATATTTAACCAGCCCCTAGGTTAGGCATGGCTGTGGCTATGGCTATGAAACCTTGCAATTCTTTATTGAATAAATTTTATCAAAGAAAACATAATGGTGTATCTGATTTACAGAGAAGAAAATTTCTTTTTATGTGTGTATATATATATATATATATATATAATATATATGTATATATCTTTATTGATTTCAGAGAGAGGAAGGGAAAGGGAGAGAGAGAGAGACATCAATGAATCATTGATCAGCTGCCTCCTGCATGTCCCCACTGAGGATCAAGCCCCCAACCCAGGCATGTGCCCTGACCAGGAATCGGACCTCAGTCTCCTAGATCATAGGTTGATGCTCAACCACTGAGCCACACCAGCCAGGCAGAAAATTTCTTTTTTGAAGAAGAGCTTCTACAGCACAAAAATATTTTCTTTCTTTTTTTTAGCTCTAGGATGAAGCTCTTCCGAGCATATGGCTCTTTGCCTGTGCCCCTTCTAAATCTGTTTATTGTCAGCAACACAAAGATACTCTCAATACAATAACATTTTCAACTCCCTAGGAGAGAAAGGCAAAATCATATTTCCCATCCTAACTTCTAAACCTCTTCAATTGTATGAATCAAAACAAACCATTATTTTTTTTGTTTTTTTCTTAGAAGTTGCTAAAAAGTTAATTCATTTGTTTTCTATCTATATGGCTGCCCCACATGGGTCTCAAGGTAGGTAACATGATAGCTACAGAGGTAGTGACTTCTAGAACTAATAATAACTGAATAATATTTCTGCCTTCCAGCCTCACCCAATGATAAAAATGCCAGCACAGGTATGATTGTCTTTTGCATGTCTCTTTCCTAAGCCTTTTTCCTCCCGGAGGATCAGCTTGCTCTTTGGAGGGTGCATCTTCTAGTTTACCTCCAATTCTTTCTCAAAGAATATTTTCACTATCCTTTGTTCTTCCTCTCCGAGCCCCACCCCTGCCTTTTTATATGAGTTCCTATCCTAAAAGTCACGGTCAAATGAATGGACCACTGTCGCATGATCCCAAGACAATCCATTGGACTTTATTAGGTTAGGGGGTTGGGAACTGACTGCAAGGATTCAATGTTATTATAAACATTATGGCTAAAATTGCTTTCTTTAATGTGCTGATAATTCTGATGTGCAGCTAGGGTTAAAAATTACTGGAATAGAAAAGGAGTTACCTGTCTTAGAACTCCCTTCTTCAGAATGGGATTATCAGCATTTGTTTGATATTTCACCTGGATAACCCTAGGAGGACTTTTTCCTAGAAGAGCCCTCAGAGATTGATATTTTAGCCACGTCTACTTCCAGGTAGGGGAAGTCTCTAAATTTCATTTTAGTAAATTTCCTATTACTGTGCTTTGGTGAGCAGGAAGGAGGTGCCTCGACATACAATGATCTTCTGTAGAGAGTCTTTTGTATGCTTTTCCCACTTTATCTCTCTTCCTGTGTCCCTTTAATCCTTTGTTAATCTCTCTCCTGTTTGTTATGCCTCTCCCTATTTTTTTGTGTTGGGCTTCTTCAGAGTGCCGGGATGAGAAATTTGCTTGCACAAGACTCTACTCTGTGCATCGGCCAGTCAAGCAATGCGTTCATCAGTTATGCTTTACCAGGTAAGGGATCCCAGAATACCCAGAGAGCATCTTCCGCGATAGTGTTTTCCTGTCAGCAACAAACTAAGGAGTCCCCACTAAGGAATTTTAGTCTTTGGAGGGGCAGAAGATTTTAGCATAATCCTCCTAGGTATTCCTGAAGGCACCAGATAGAACCTAGAGTCTGGATTGAGGTATACAGAGAACAGACTGAGTAAAACATCCAGATGCTTAGAGGGCAAATAAAGGTGAGGGCTGGAAGAAAGATAGTCACAACAGAAACACAGGTACTTTGAATTTAATACCTCACAGAAAAAGGCTGAAGTGAAAGATCCAAGTCTGAAGGTAGAAAATAGTGGGGAGGAGCCTGGCCAGTGTGGCTCAGCGGTTGAACATCCACCAATGATCCAGGAGATCTTGGTTCAATTCTGATCAGGGCACATGCCCAAGTTGCAGGCTCAATCCCCAGGAGGGCACTTGCAGGAAGCAGCCAATCAATGACTCTCTCTCATCATTGATGTTTCTCTCTCTCTCTTCTTCCCTCTCTCTGAAATCAATAAAAATCTATTTTTAAAAAAAGAAAATAGTGGGGAGGAGTTAATATTAAGCTTGATTCTAGGTGGAGTAGGAAAAGTGTCATTAAGAAGAGTAATTAATATGATTTTCTGAAATATTTAAGGAAATTCAGATAAGGAAGCGTGGGGAATACAGGAGTTGAAGAGGCATCGTAGGCCTAGGCTGCTTCTCCCTCTCAATGCCTTTTTCTGTCTCCTTCCTTAACCATGACCCTGGTCTCTGGCAGTTTACGACGCATGTACATCATCAACAATGAGATCTGCTCCCGTCTTGTCTGTAAAGAACATGAAGCTATGAAAGGTAAGATGATGTCTGTGTTTTTAGTGGGGGAAGGGACAGTTATGAGAGAGGTAAATAAGAACAGTGCTAATGGATCCAAGGGCTGGCTTTGGAGGAGGGCTTTAGGTCACCCCTTTAACTTCTACCAGTCCCAGCGTTACCCCAAATAAGTAATCGAAGTAAAGCAGCATGCTTAATACATAAACATAGCCCTACAAAAAGTCCCCCCAGATCTCTTTCCAGTTAGACTGCAACTCCCAATCTCTGCTGAATATAGGGAGAGCTCTTTCTGAAGCTCCGGCTGCTCTGAAGATCATTCACTGGGGTTCTAGGTAAAAAGGCCAAGTCAGCCATTACATATAATAGATGCTACTAGTCTGCAGCCATGTTTGTAACTCAAAAAGCCCCCCACAAAAAACACATTAATTTGAAGACAGTAGTGTTTGGATAAGGCCTATAATTGTATTAGAAAGACTGGACATTTAGAAACTGGCTACATTATAAACCGTCCACCACTTCCAAGCACCCTTTACATCGCTCATTGTGAAATTTCCGAGGTAGGGGAAGGTAGCAAGACTTCACAAAAACAATTAAAAGAGTCGAAAGTGAGTGACCGTGTATGATGAGAAAAAAGATACTCCCCACTTTCCCCAGGGCCAGCCCCCAAAGGCGGCTGCGGTTGGCCAGGGCACCACAGACCAGCCGCTTCTGACTCAGCAGCCCGCCTTGGGCCGAGCTCCTGAGTAAGAGCTGTACTTAATTTCGCAGAAGGAAACTTATCGCTTTTCCCCATTGGCTCTGTGCAAGCCACCTGCAAGGGAAGCACCTTGAGGTTGAGGTTGAGTATTTGGGACTCCAGGCACTTTCAAGTGTCCCTGGGGACTTGGTCAAGTTAGCTGTTTGCACATCATAAACACTTTAGGTATATACTGAGGGACTGAATCACCTCAGTTTTTGGTAATTCAGTAAGCTCATGATTAGAAAAAGTGGGAGCCAGGTGTAGAAAGGAAACTTAACACTTACCACCTGTGCTAGGTACTTTGCTTGCATTATTTTATTTTGAATACAACTCAACTGTTGAGGCAGCTATTTGAATGCTTATTTTATAGCAAAGGATAGCGAAGTCCAGAAACGTTAAGAAACTTTCTAGTAAGTTTCTAGCGGTAAACGGTAAGTGGCAAAGCTGGGATTCTCACTAGGACCTTTTTCTCCCGGGCCTTTTCCCTGCACCACACTGCAGTCTCCCCTTTCCCTTAGAACGCCGGCCCCCCACCATGCTCTGCTTCTCTCCTAGACGAGCTCTGCCGGCAGATGGTTGGCCTGCCCCCCCGACGGCTCCGGCGCTCCAACTACTTCCGACTTCCTCCCTGTGAAAACGTGAACTTGCAGAGACCAAGTGGCCTGTGATCGTCAAGGAAAGGAGAAAAGGGGAAATGTGTGGGAGGGATGAAGAGAATGCTCCAGGAAGAGGGAACCCCTTGTCTAACCATCGTCAGCTAACCCGTGCACATTAGTATTTCTTAGACCAAACCCTTTTTGCGATGTTAAGCTTTTGCCCCTACTCCCTGATGTTTCACCCAGACCGAAACATTTATCTCATTTTCGGTACTTACAATACAAAGTTTATATTATTGCATGGTTTTACTGCTTCCCAATATCATAGACATAGTAGATAAATGATGACCAGGTGGCTTATATACAAACATTCTACATACAGTTTCAAGGGAAAATAAACTTAAGGTTAATAATATTTACTACTGAATCTGTCCGAGCTAGGTCTTAGGGCAGAAGAAAGAAACTATTACTATCTATTTTGGCTAGCCATAGAACTTCATTTACTTTCAAGAGTTTTCTAGATCGACTCCCCATTTGTCTATAAAATTATAATTCTCTTCACTCTTATTTTAACTATTTTGCTGATTGTCCTAACATTTACCTGGAAGGTCCTCTTTATGGAAAAGATCATGATAATTTTTGTAGCCCTAGAAAATTCTCCAGAGCCAAGAGTTGTACAATCCTACTAACAATATATAAAGACCTGAAATGTTGTCTTCGGCCAAGCTCAGAGGCTGAGGCCAAAGAGAGAAGAGTATGCCAGGTATAGAACTTGGACCCATGATTCCCTGTTCAATTTTTGATGCATTTGTCCAGTCAGCAAGTAGTGCTAGAAAGTAAGTTTCATTTTCTTACTCCTTTATGGTAGTATTGGGGTTAGTCCACCTTGACAGGTTAATTAGACAACAAACGTCAAACCATATCACTGGTCTCAGTATCTGTGAGTTGTTGCAACTTCCATTCTCACCACTTGCCAAAATCTATAGATTATTATGCAAATAGATTCTGGAATAGCCTGAATTGGGGCCTAAGAAGTGCATCCCGGCCTGAACTTTAATAGGCAGGCACAAAGTTTACCAATGGTTTATAGAAAAGAGTAAAAGAAGCACAATATTTAGACAACCCCCAATCTTACTCTGGGTCTCACCAGGTAGCCTCAGATAAGTCATATTTCCTCATTAGGTGCTCATTTAATTTCCCCGTCTTTAACATGAGAAGATTTAATTTACACTAGTTCTAAGGTTTCTTTTAATTCTATGATGCTCAAGATTTAAATGCATTGTTCATATTTCTTGAAGCCTAGAGATGCGGTCTAATTCACAAAAAATGTGTCTGCTTTATAAGGGGGGAAATAGCCTTTATATTTAATGGACAGCAGTCCACAATATATCAGAACAATATCCGACTATAAGTGACAAATTATATATTATGGACCTTCCATTTGATAAACTCAGTAAACTTCTTAAAAAGCCAATGGAATTCAAGTAGGAATGAGGGGACTTTGAGACAACCAGTTACATATGACAAATTACCACTTGATGGGGAGTGAATTTCTTTCATATTGCTGAGAAAACGACCTGAGGATTAGAGTCTTGCTGTTAAGAAGCAATTTAGTTTAATGGGGTTTGCACAACTGATTAAAGAAAAATGTTGGAAAAGGCCCCAAAGCATGTAATCCTGCTCCACAGCCTTTAGAAGTAAATGTACTCCTATGTAGACATATTAAATGTATATTGTAGCCGCTGTAGAGAAATCTCATAGGCACCAAGTTTCCAAGAGTCATGTCAAAATGTCTTCATGAACTTGACCCTCCAACTGCATATTGAACGAGAGGTAGCATTCCGCCAGAAAGTGCCTCAATCTCAGTATTGTGTATATTGCAAATTAAACATTTTAAAATAATTTTTTTTCCAATTTTCTTCTCAGAAGAGAGAAGTGTTGTGTCTGATTATTTCTTTTTCTATTTTATGTTTAAAAAGACCTGAATTCATGCTTTTATTCCACTCTGAAAACTAACAATATTGCTCAAATTTCTCTATTCCACTGTTCTCTATTGTATCCTTCGTCCCTCCATAACTTAACCGTTGGTTCTCCAACATTCCAAACTTATTTACCCTCCTCCAGATGTGACCCATCCTCAGTTCACCAGAAAATTCTTTTTCTTTTCTGCCCCCTTCAGGACCAACTGACTTGCAAGATGAAGTTTCATGCTTTATTTTCACTTCTCTTTTGCATGATCAAATTCCTGTGTTTTGCATTTCTCATTGTTCTTATGTTCTCTACCTGTCTTACTCTTCTTGATATGGGAACCAACATTTCTAACTCACTTCCCAGCCTTTCTTCCCTCATCCTTATAAAGTCTTACTTTCCATTATAACTTTCTCCTAAAAATGGTTCCAGGTCAAAGTTTCTGAGGGGTTTTTTGGCATGAGTTCCTTCCTCTGTACTCTCTTTCCCATGGGCAGAATTCCATTCACCATCTTTGTTTTTTATTACCCTTGACCCGTTGCAGATCCCTGATGTTCTAGTTTTTTTTAATCTTGTTCCTCCCAAGAAAAGATTTGAAAATCTTTTATTCTTTAAGATGTTAATATTATCCTTTTCCTGGTGAATGCAAATGACAAGTTTCTTAAGCAAGAAACTTATATATATATATTCTTAATCTTCACCTGAGGATTTTTTTTCCATTGCTTTTCAGAGAGTGGAAGGGAGAGAGAAAGAGAGAAACGTCAATGTGAGAGAGACACATTGATTGGTTGCCTCACACAAGCGCCGGACTGGGGCCAGGGATCCAGCCTGCAACTGAGGTACGTGCCCTTGGCTAGAATCAAACCTGGGACCCTTCATCCAAGGGCCAACACTAACCACTGAGCCAAACTGGCTAGGGCAGGAACTTATATTTTGATGAGAAAGAATTACTTAAATCAAAACAATGGATCTTTGCCCAGTCGGGCATGGCTCAGCGGTTGAGCACGGACCAAGGATCCAGGAGACTGCGGTTCGATTCCCGGTCGGGACCATGCAGGAGGCAGCCCATCAATGAGGACTCTCTCATCATTGATGTTTCTATCTCTTCCTCTCCCTTCCTCTCCCTGAAATCAATCAATCAATTAATAAATATATATAAATAAAATGGATCTTTAATGTTGAAATTAGAGGATTTGGTTAAAAGTTAGGTGGCTTTTGCCTGGCCAGCATGGCTCAGTGGTTGAGTGTCAACCCATGAATCAGGCAGTCAAGGTTTGATTCCTGGTCAGGGTACATGCCCGGGGTTTGGGGCTTGATCCCCAGTAGGGGGTGTGCAAGAGGCAGCTGATCATTGATTCTCTCTCATTACTGATGTTTCTATCTCTCTCTCCCTCTCCCTTCCTCTCTCTGAAATCAATAAAAACATATATATTTTTTTTAATTAGGTGATTTTTGAGATGAAATTCTTTCCTGGTACCTTATCTGCCTACCCATGAAGTTCACCCATATTTTCTCTTCCAATAAGTTGATCCTGCTCTGAGCCTAATCCATATTTCACACTTATAATTGAAGAAAGTTCTCCTTTCTCCTTGAATAAACAAGGTCTGGAAATTCAAATGTGCCCTGTACTCTAAATATAGTTCCATGCACGCTTTCTCTGAGTGCTTTTGGCTTACAGGCAGGTGGTGCATAGCCCAGCTGGCCTCCCCCCCTCTGGACTTTGCTTATGATGACATCAAGTGGTATGTTACTAGCCACAAGCTCCGCCCTCCGCTGCTTCTGGGGGCTGTGGCAAAAGGTGAATGTTTAACCAAACACTTTACGCTTGGGCAGAAGGGGCAAGCACCTTGCAACTCTAAGGTGCCCCCTTCCTCCTGTACTGAAGCAGTTGTAGCCCAGTGAAGAAAGAAATCTGAGAAGAAACAGAAGAGAAGAGAGAAGAGGCCTGAGGAGAGCCCACCAGAGGGGCTCAGCTGGCTGAGCCTCCGGCCAGGAGCTGCTGGCTGGTTGCAGGTCCCATCTCCGATCGGGCACGTGCAGGGGACAACTGATTGATGTTTCTCTCTCTCCATATTAAAAAAAAAAAGAGCGATAAGGAGATGGGAGAGAGTAATAACGGGTTGCCATCAGGGCAGGGAGAAGAGAATTGGGGAAGTGCGGTGAAGAGATCCTGAGAGATCTGGAGCCCTGCAGGGTAGAATGGGGGTTATCAGGAGCCCCACGGCAGAGAGGCAGGACCCCAGCTGGTCTGCCAACTCGGTTCTCTCAACTCAGGGAGGCAAGACTTGGTTAAAAATGCAATGCTCCAATAAAAATTGAAATCCTTGTATCTTTTAGCATTTTTACCAGCCAAACATCAGCGAAAGTGACTTGAACTTCCCTGTGGCGGAGAAACAGGTGGCCACAGTTTTTTGTGTTTTTTTCTAAAAGCCAGTCAAGCAAAACCAGAAGCATCAGTCAAAAAACTTCTGGGCAGAACCTAAGTTGGAAAAAGCAAATGTTTATATAAATAGAGGTGCAAAGCTCATATCTTCCTGTTGACAAATCGAGCTTCACTTCACTTCAAACCCTCAATTTTTGTAAAAATAGCTGATAATGGCTTTTTTTTTTTTCTTCAATTTGTCCAATCACTTTCAGTAAGGTTCAGGTATTTTCCTAACCCAGGGGTCCTGCAGGTGCTTTTTTTCTCTATCTCTAGTGTTTTTCTCTTTCCTTTTGCTTTGTGTGTTTACTTAGCTTCAGGGAATACTTTATTAAATTAATGAAACAATCTGTAATGATTGAATTCAGAATGATCTCATAAATTTGTGTGAGATTCACCTCCTCCCCTAACCCCTTAATAAAAGGTAACAGATGAGTTTCCAGCAAGTATATGGAAATATTATAATTGAAAACAACCTGAATTGTATTTAAGGGATGGCCATTGAGATATCAACTATGTCATTATATACCGTTTCCTAACATGTTCTGTACCAAAAAGTCAAGTCCAAGAGTTACAATGAAGGGTAAATTAGAACTGCACAGAACAACATTGCTTCCATTTGTATAAAATTACACCCATATTTATCCACTTTTCAAATTTATAAAATTTTTTTACTGATTTT